AATATCTCGGGCTGATAGCCATAAACTCGCGAGATATGGCCATTTTAGTGATTCCGCGTATACGGCGTATAGCATTGAAAAACGGTGTTTCACACAATGCTTGGGCCAATCACCAGTACTGCATTGCTATACGCTGTATGGGCGCGATCACTAAAATGGCCATATTTCGGGCGTTTATGGCTATCAGCCCGAGATATTCAATTTATATTTTTTATTTTGCCTGAACTACATGATTAGTGGCTTTTTATTAAGATATCGGCCGACAAGCTCGTACCGTTCGCTTGTAAGTAAACGTCATTCCCGAACATTCTATTGACTAATTTTATTGGGGAATTCCCAAAGAATCTCATCTCTAGGTATAACAGTATACGGAAACTAAAATAATTGTAAATAAATACGTTTTCATTGGAAATCAGCTTTTGTTAAATGTAAAGCAGCTTTATTTCGTGTCTAAATAAAAAATCAATTCAATTCAAATAAAATCAATCACTTTACGGTGTATATTGTTACATCTAAAGATGATTAGTGTTAGTTTACAAAAAAGTAACATTAACATGGCTAAAAATAGTACTGGATAACCCGTGCATGATAAATTATCATATTATTGTATATCTGTATTATTTACTGTGATATTTACTCAATCATAATACACGTGTATACCAATATAATATTGGCAATATTACTGTACACTTTACAATTTACATTTAACAATAATTTATATTTTGAAGTCTGCAAGTCAAGTATAATTGTGTTTATTTGTACTCAATTCATGGATGTAGCGAAACATAAATAGCACGTAGGGTATATTTACCTAGCTACAATGACATCATAAGTGAGTGCACTTACATCGATGCAATTTATTTCTTTTTTGATTGTAATTCCATAACTTCATAGGCATTACAAACATTTCAGAATCAATAGAATCTCTTCTTTAAAGTGCCGATCAATAGGGGTTTGAATTCACCAAAACGTTTCCATTCACTGCATTCAGCAAATCATTAGAAACATTACATTTAATTAGAATCTAATGATTAAATTACAGACCTTTGATATTGTCATTCAGACCGCTATACAGTATTTCCTACAAAATATGCTGTAATGTTGTTATATTATAATTTACGCTTACTTTACAATTAATTATAAAAACAATATAACATTATTTTAAAATAAATATAACGGTCTAAATGACAAGATCAAAGGGTTTGTAATCTAATATAATGTTTTTAATAATTCGCTGAATGTAATGAATATGTTTCGTAAAAACGTATAGTTGAGTGAGCTAATATCTAGATAATAAAATAAGTTTTATAAAGGCATAGTCATTATAGTATTAATAGCTTCTGAGCTCATACAAGTTTATAAATAATTTACAATTTTTAATAAAAACATTGATATAAATTACTTCGTAATAAATTGTTAGTTTAATTAAATTTTTCCCTTTTACAAGAATTTCCGATAAATTCTTATCCATATAAGACTCCAATTATAACATTTCATAACAATTGCTATTTTGATAAAAATAGAAAGAATTTTTTCTATAGAAATTGTTTTCAAAGAAAACATTCCCTAAAGAAATTGTTTTCAATTTTCTTATGTAAGACTAAAGGGAGAGAGAGAGAGAGAGAGCGTCATAAAATATAATCTATACTTATTTTGTATATGGATTAAAGTACAGCACCGGTAAACTAATTCTACATTCCAGTGCTGTGTTGTCATACAATATGTGTTGTTATTTGATGTTGTGACCGATGCTTTCAATTCAGCGCTCAAACAAATGGCTATAATTAGCGTCAAAATCATATTTAAATGTTTTTTAAATGCAATTCAATGATAAATGTAGGATTGTAGGATGTAGGAGACTACCGTATTTTATGCTATATCAATATTGATATTAATAATTTCGAATAGTACAAGAAATTAACCAACGGCATTTTTTAAATTTATTTTTGGTCTAAATGAAGAATTAAACAAAATAATTATAAAAATCAAATACTTGTTAATAAGTTATATACTAACCACTCAAATACTATACTGTTTAATTAATATTTTAATGATTAGATTTGTGCATAAAAATAATGTTTTGGAAATGTTAAAATATGAATTATTCGAATATTCTGAATAATATTAATGATTTTTACAATACAATATTAATTCGGACATTAGTATTAGAAGTTTAGAACCTACATTATTTTCATTTCCGTATTTGTAAAATGTTTTATAACGTATTATATGTTTAAACATAAAACCAATGGCTCTACACATGTCCCACACTTATCATTGAATTGCATTTAAAAAACATTTAAATATGATTTTGACGCTAATTATAGCCATTTGTTTGAGCGCTGAATTGAAAGCATCGGTCACAACATCCCGAGTATTAGTCGAGCAAAAGTATTCCCAAAACATAACACATCAAACCAATAGGACTTCAAGAAGTTTGTTATCAAAAAATCATTTTAATTTTAATCAATAACTTTAAAAATTATAAACATTTTTGGCCCAAAAAAATATTTCTTCGAAAACAACAGTTTATTTTCCAATCTTCCAAATCATTGAATTCCCAAACGATGGCTGTCTAACAGTGGACGGACTGATGGGCACGTGTTATGCCAACACAGAATGCCGTCTATTCGGCGGAATCAGCCGTGGATTCTGTGCCCGAGGTTTCGGTGTCTGTTGTTTCTGTGAGTCCTATTGCTGTCCGTGTAATCACTTGCCACTAATCCAGTGCTCATACGTGTGGACCCGGTTTATAGTTAAGGTCTCGTGTGGAGCGGTTGTCACCAATAATAGGACACACTTTTTGAATCCAAACTTTCCGCACACTTTCAACGACGAGATGCGGTGCGAAGTGGCCGTCAAACTGCCCGCCGATATCTGCCAACTGAGGCTACGGTTCGTCCGGACGTTACTATCAAACCCGTGGCGCTCGCAGTGTGTGATCGATGCCCTGACCGTTCCGCACGCGTCCAAACCACCCGTTCTCTGCGGTAACCTCACGGATGAGCACAGTTTGTATTGTCATTACATTCACTAACTATAACACAAACTAAACAAATGTCTCACATTTTTTTCGGATCAGTCTATTTGGACGCTAAAGGTTTGAAAGAGCAGTTAATCATAATCACAACCACTGGCAAAGAGTTGTCCCGACATTGGATTATTGAGATTCAGTTCATTGAATGCGATCTTTTGCTAAAAGGTTTGAATTTTGATGTTTATCTCAAACAATAATTGTAATGCATTTCTAGCGCCAAACGGTTGCCTTCAATACCATACGGGAACCACTGGTTTGATAAAGACATTCAATTTTGAATGCGCCGGTCGTGCGACAGGAGATGCCGAGTGTCTTATCGCTAATCTTGAGTACAGTGTTTGCGTCCGAATGGAGGACCAGATGTGTGCCATTCAATGGACTCCCAATCACTTTGATTTGGGACCCGAAGGAGTGATGGCTTCTCAAAGAGGAGATTGTAATTGACAGTCAGTTTTATCCAAACATATCATTAATTATTTGCTCCGATAGTCTGTCAACAGAATTACATAACTCTAGAAAACGCCAAAATTGTGACCAAAGATCTCGAAAAGCAAAACATTAAAAGTTTTGACAGATTTTGCGGTAAAGCACTGAATATCGACAGAAATAATAGGACAAGTATTCCTCTCATAAGTAAGTCAGTCATCCGTTTTATGTCTTCAGATTAAGACTAAAGTGACATTCAATTGACCGAAAGGTAGGGCCAAACCGTTTATGATGTCTGTGACGACTGCCCACCGCTTCGGCGGACGGTTCAGAGGGGCGTCCCTTTCGTACGAACAGAAAGTCTGTATCGACGCTAATGTCTAATCCATTTGGGAACCAATTGTTGACAATCTTTGAGACATTATTTATTTTAACATAAAATCTGATGCGGACGGTTCAGAGGGGCGTCCCTTTCGTACGAACAGAAAGTCTGTATCGACGCTAATGTCTAATCGTTTTGGGAACCAATTGTTGACAATCTTTGAGACATTATTTATTTTAACATAAAATCTGACAATTGGTCTAAAATGATAAATATATACAAAATATGATTAAAAACAATGAATTGATGGCAAAAAAAGAGTCAATCTTTAGAGGAATGAGCGCTTCTTCGGACACTTTGTTGAACGGCTTGTCTTCGGGACTGAATTACATTCAATTGGCTTTCAATACTATGGATGATATCGACCTCTTCGGGGATGTGAACCATCCGTATTCGGCAACCCTTGAGGAAGTAATAGTCAAACGATTGGATCAATTGATTGTCGGGCGAATGGAAGCGACAATTGGTTAACTCGATGTTCATGAATGAGTCCACACTTGCGATGACACCAATCAAGTGATGGTCTGATCGCAAGTCGACGCGAGTCTTGCGTCCGATCAGTGACTGCAAGAAACAGATCAATGTTTTGGCAGATTTTGCCCTCTCTTTGGGTGTCATCGACGAAGACATCGCGTCCAAGAAGTCCACACAATCACCACAAACGGGTCCGAGAGGTCAACACACTATCACCGCAAACACATCCAAACAATTCACACTTCAGTTCATGTTTTCAAAACATGTGACAAATTGTTGACAAAAATGACTCATAAATAACGCCAACAATTGTGAAGAGAAAGACATAAAAGTGACCATAAATTGAATGCTTTTCAAGCGATTCAATAGAAAGTGGTTTTCAAAGCAATGCTTTCTATTGACGTATTGTATGAATGATCTAAACATAAGTCTCTATGTGTTTGCATGTGTTGTACAATAGATAGCGCTTAACATACAGTCGAGTATTGAAAGTATTGAAAAATGTTTTCAAAGTTTTTTCGCCTAAACTTTTGAACAGAGATTTGATGTCAACTATCGATGACTTTATCTGATTTGTCACAGCATTTGGATTTCGCTTCAAATTAACAATAATTTCTCATTTATTTTCACTTTTAGAGCAAAAATTATGAATTAATTATCAATTATTTGCTGTTTAGTCGGCTTAACAATGACTGCAATTATTCATTACATTGCGATAATTATCTGAAACTCATTTTGTTCACTCATTTCTAGACGCAAATGAATTATTACAGCAATTATAAGTATTTGGATATTATTTTAAATGCTGTTTCGGATCCGTTGAACACTATATAAATGATTAGTTAATTATAAATAGTAGTCATTGTTTGGATCATTAATTAACACAAATTAAGTTCTCATTTAAACGGATCTCTACTTCGTTAAGATTTTTGAAGATACATGAATTGATGTCTCGCTTTCGTTCACAATTACAGTACACTATTGAAGAATACAATAGTCTTTACAATGATTTTTGCCAACAATTTTCATGATTAACGATAATATAAAAATGTGAGTTTGCATNATGTCTTTGAGAAACTCGTCTCAATTCAAATACACGGTTGCAATATATTTATAATTTAATGCAATCCTTACAACACATACGAAGAAAATTCATTTGAAAATTATTTATAAAAGCCTACGAAAGGTTCCCATTGAGACCTACAGAGTGCCGATCTTTTAAGTTCACTCTTATATTATATAATATAACCTTATATTCTGTATAACCTTTAAATCCACGAAACGTATCCTTACTTTGATGTTATTTCCCAGAAGTCGGACTAAATGTCCGTCAAATTGTGTTTTGTTTGTGTTTAACAAATTGTATTTTTCAATTAATAGCATTAAGTCTTGCATTAAATCTTAAATCTGAGATCTTATTGTTTTATTGGGTATAAGAATTGCATTTGCCTTTCATTTTAATCCAATAGAATTAAATCATTGGTTAATCAAATAATTGGTTAAATCAAATGCTATTAGTTATACAATACTTCTCTCTCTCTCTCTCTCTCTCTCTCTCTCTCTCATGCATTTACGAGTTCTCATGTCTGCACCACTACTACTATGTGTATAACATCGGGAGATATGTACAGGAATGTGGGATAAACATCTGAACGAATTGGAAGTAAAATTTAGTATATTTAATTAAATTAGATTCTATCGATATTTATACCAAATTAAAGCTTATATATTGAAGAATAAAATTATAGAAAAAATTATTTAAATATCTTTAAAAATGGCCACAAGATTAAGGTTAGAAGAGTAGTACACAAATTATACTTTTTTAACGACTTCGAATTTTATTCGGCGAAAATTTTCGGTCTATATAACAATGCCATTTATGTAATGGCTTAAATTATGTCAATAATAAGTTATTCGACTTAAAATCTCAATAAACCGAATTAATATGTGTAATAAACACGAAATTGATTAAATAATAAATTTTCTTAAAACTGTAAAAATTCTGGTGAAACGCGCATAAAATGGATTTTCAAATACGATATTGCATATTAATTATTAGGATCATCCTGGTCAATATTTTCTATATGTCACGCCAGTTATTGCAAAGTTAATATATGGCAACTATTTAAACTAAAATTACGTAGCATATATTATGTTTAATGAATAGAAAAATTAAAATTAAATACAGTTTAATTAACATTAAGTCTATGAGTTAAAATATTATTTCTTGTATGTTTAACTTGTAACTTCAATTTTGTGGCGATTTCTAAAGATATTTAAATAATTTTTTCTTTAATTTTATTCTTCAATATATAAGCTTTAATTTGGTATAAATATCGATAGAATCTAATTTAAGTAAATATACTAAGTCATACTTCCAATTCGTTCAAATGTTTATCCCATTTAGCTGTAGTGCCAGTGCCAGACATGCCAATAGTGCCATTCGGTACGCCCTCTTATAAAACACCTGTTGTATTATTTCTTGTTTGACTGATTTAATAAATTAAGTTCAGAGAATATTTTTACAACAAAAACACATTTGTTGTAAAACACCGATTGTATGGAAAAGAAATATATAATATTGATATCTATTTTACTGTGAAAACAAATTATTTCCATATTTCGTGAAACGAAATAAATTTTACACAAAAACTAATATACAATCCAACATAAGAAATGTATAGCCATTTATTTATTCAATAATAGCCATGGTTTGCGAAGTGAATGTCATTAAGTAATAGACTGTTGTATAGCTGTATATATCTATAACTATCTTTAAAAAACATTTTTCGTTTAAACGAAAAAGCTTTCCATATATAGAGATAGAGAGGCAACAGAAACTTATTTTTGTTGCACAAAATGCAAAGTCTTATGTCGACCGCATTTATTATAACTTCATTACAAACTCATAACAAAACGAAAAAGTTTTTTCTTATATAAGAGATTGAATTGAAATACAAAATTTGAATATAAATCATAAATGACACGAGAATTGTGTGCATAAAAAACTGTTTGCTTTATGTTATGGACACAAAACCCGCATTCAGTGTTCACAATATCTGATAGTATTCTTCGTCGGAGAACACAATATCTTTGTTATAATGACTACAAATTCGCTCTATTATTGTGTAAACCGTATGAACACATGTGTCACGTCTTCTTCATCTCATTCAATGTCCAATTCATTCAGACATCACTTCTCTTTCTTTGATAGCATTTGTGTTTTTCAATTGTCTATTAATATATTTTTTCTTTAAAACCGAAGAGTATTTTTACAATTCATGACATTTTCTACGAAAGTTTTTTTAAATTTAAAACAAACATGAATTTGATTTAAATATACCACTTAATACATTAATACATATATAAGTAGTATTTTAAATGATAAATCACTACTTTATACATCTGTGTTAATTGTGTGATAGAATTTGATGTACATGTTATAGTAGTTTTGTATAAATTAATTAGAAATAACAAGTTATGTAACGTATGAAATATGAAGCAAAACTACAGTAATTGAGTGTTGGACTTAAAGAAGAAGAATTAGTTTATAAATTGAAAATATTAAGCATTTTTAACGCAAATGATTTGATGGGATTGTATGGGATGTGTAGGGAATTGCAGGGAAAGTGTCGATCAATTGTGTGTCGAGTGAAACAACAGAAGTTTGAATCAAAGAAACTTCTGATGCGTGCCATCGATGAGAAAAGTCTGTCCAAAATTACTGATGAATCGCATGCATGAGTGAATGGGATCTTACAACCACCTCTCTCTCTCTCTCTCTCTCTCTCTCTCTTCTCAGTGATGAGGTAGCAGTCCGTACACCACATGACTATATGACCGAAAGTTTATATAGTTTATTCAAAATGCTATACAATTATGACCTTCAGTTGTATGTGTTTTACTATATTTTACGGCATTTCCGAAACGCAACAGTGATTAGCCCTTAAGCTAAATACCATAAGAAGTTATTTAAGACATACGTATTCTCTAAGCATTAGTTATAATAGTTTTTGTCGGTTTGGAGTTTGAAATAAGTCTAATGAAAAACTTTCTTTAAGAGAAAACATTATCGAAACACAACTAAAAGTGAACGAAAAATTACTTTCAGACGTAAAACAAATGTTTTCTCTATTTTTTAAAAGTTTATATCGTTTTTTTGATTGCGACGACGAATAACAATAATACGATCACTAAATGATCGTTAGTTTATTCAGTCATTCAAACATTTGATTGAAATTATGAATGAAATGACAAACTTTGGTGCAACTAATTGCAGGATGTTTGCCATCGCTTCACTTATGTAGTCCTCTGTCCCTACCATTCAATACCACTGCCCTATCACTACAATCGTACTCTCTCTCTCGTATTTTTTCTCAGCACTTTTTTAGTTGTCTTTGGATGTGTTTAATGAAACTGTGAGACCAATTGGGGAGGTATGGGCTGAGGGCTGAGCCACGTTGAGAGCAGATGCGCCACTTTTTTGCCAAATTTCTCGTAACGCCTTTATGGTCAACACCAGTCAGACCTACCGATGCCTACTCTTCCTTAAGCGGAAAATTAGCCATAAGTGCAAAACAAGTCGACCGAACATTTCGTGTAATTTTTTTTTCTTCTCTCTTCATTTGATTTTTAGCCATAGAATTGAAGCGAGAATTGAAAAAATAGCTGAGAATATAAAACACTTAAAGAATGAGAAGAAAAGCAAAAATTATTTTTTATATGTTATTTTGGGACCAATAATGTCTGTCTCGACCCAAAAGTGAAAAGTAGACAAAAACACACAAAAAATTGAAATAAAAGTTTGTTTTGTACGCAACAGACAAATATTGTCTATCGATATACACGATCTTAAGAAGTATTTTTCACTACACTATACATATGGTGTAAACGTTGAAAGAGAGAGAAAATAGGATCAGATAGTTTGGGCGCAATTTAGTGCACAAATCAATTTCAATTACCCCCACCTCTGCATTTGGACCCAAATTATCATTTTTGCCAATCAATGACCCGCTGGTTATAAGCGTTTAATACAACCCGCGTATATGCGAACCCTTGCTTTCGACGTGGGAAGCCATCAGCCTATCATCCCTTACGTCCCAATCCATACTATGGTTAATGGCATCGCATATATGCATATGGTATCGACTATGTGT